CATTAAACCTTGTAGACCAGGTTGGCTAAGTGACTGCCAATATCATTAGACCTTGTAGACCAGGGTAGCCAAGTGACTTCCAAAGCTATTAGACCTTGTTAGACACAAAGATCCAAAGCCATCAGACAATGTAGACCAAAGAAGGGATGGCCAGGAATCTGATAGTGATTTGATATATGTAATTAGTGTATCCTAGAACAACTCAGCTGTGTAGTCATTTTAAAGCAAGAAACTAAGATGTCTTAAGAACTTGGTTGTCTAAGGATGTGGCAGTGAGGAACCAGCATGTCATAGATCTCTGTGATAGCAAAGAATTGGGATGACCTAATACTATTATAGTTATTATAGCACATCTATGCAGAACCCAGATCAGCTGTTAGAAGTGATTAAAACACATGCCTTCCAATAATCATCTTCTGGGTCAAATTGCAAGGCTTCATATTCCAGGGCATCTATTAACTTCTCTGCTGGACATTTAAATAACTTCAAAATATCAGGAATGCTAAAAACAACCAATGAGAAAACAATTTATTAATCCTTTTAGGTTGTTACATCCATCTCCCAAAATATTCCTGTACATCGCATTTGACTATACTTACCAAATCTAATTAAAACATCCCATCATGTTATACACAAAATATATATACATCATACATTGCTCAATAACACCCACTCCCCCCTTCCCCTCCCCCTGCATGCTTTCCTCATGTAAAATTTGGTTACAGCATTTCTAATTCACATTGATTTTATTAATTATTCATGAGAATAATATCAAGTAGAGACACCAAGTACAGACATTTTCATCTCTAATTTATACCTTTGTATTCATTAAAGGTCAAATGGATGAGCATTTGTACAGAATATCATTAAAATTACCCAGAATGCAGTTTGACAAGTGATGACAGAAGACTTACCATGATAAGTGATAAAGTGTGAGAAATGGTTTTGCAACATCTCCATCCATGCAACCTGGGACACAATTTCTGTGACAGGAATCAATGCAAACAAACATAGTATCAATTGCTTGACTGATGATAAATTTGTTGTTTGATGATGATTTAATCATTTGTAGTCAAAATTGTTGTACTCTACTAACACCACCAACTGTTGTCAGACAGCTGCAGGAGATCAATAATCACTCAAAAACGAGACAAATATGATTATACACTTCCCATTTTGACCTAAAGAGGGCAGTCTTTATGCAGTAGTCAATAAATATTGCTGAAGAGCAAATAAATCTTTACTCACACACACTGAACCACCATGCTTACCTGCCGAATTCAAACATGCATGCTTACCTGCCGAATTCAAACATGCATGGTTACCTGCCGAATTCAAACCTGCATGGTTACCTGCCGAATTCAAACCTGCATGGTTACCTGCCAAATTCAAACCTGCATGGTTACCTGCTGAATTCAAACCTGCATGGTTACCTGCCAAATTCAAACCTGCATGGTTACCTACCGAATTCAAACATGCATGGTTACATGCTGAATTCAAACCTGCATGGTTATCTGCAGAATTCAAACCTGCATGGTTACCTGCTGAATTCAAACCTGCATGGCTATCTGCAGAATTCAAACCTGCATGGTTACCTGCTGAATTCAAACCTGCATGGTTATCTGCCGAATTCAAACCTGCATGGTTACCTGCTGAATTCAAACCTGCATGGTTACCTGCCGAATTCAAACCTGCATGGTTACCTGCCGAATTCAAACCTGCATGGTTACCTGCCGAATTCAAACCTGCATGGTTACCTGCCGAATTCAAACCTGCATGGTTACCTGCCGAATTCAAACATGCATGGTTACCTGCCGAATTCAAACATGCATGGTTACCTGCCGAATTCAAACCTGCATGGTTACCTGCAGAATTCAAACCTGCATGGTTACATGCAGAATTCAAACCTGCATGGTTACCTGCAGAATTCAAACCTGCATGGTAACCTGCCGAATTCAAAGTTGAACACAGAAGATACCTTGACCAATGTGAATGTGTTAGTTTAGCATTTCCAAATTTGAGGGTTAGTTACTATGGTAACAATCAAAAGCAATAGAAGAATGAATATGTGGGAAGAATATATTTTTTTGAAGTGTATTTGTCAGTGCCCCAAAGACAATATTTATTTGAATTCTAACCTCTTAATACAATCAAATAACTCATGGTGATCTTTTTCTGCCAGAATCACTTGCTTTACTCGCAGTGTTTTTTGTCTCATCTAAAAAAGAAAAAATATAATATAATTATTCCATCAGTCCCATCACTCATTAATTACAACCACAGATCGGACAAGTTTTGGAATAAAAAAAGCTGGTAATCAGAAATCAATTCAGACCACTTTGACTTGATGATTCAAGCACCATCAAGTGCGCGAGAAAATATCTTGTATACCTAATTTTATTGCACGCTAAGCAAATATATTACATATTGACTTATTTCCACATAAAATCAGCTCCCTGGAAATGTTCATACATGGGCATCTTTATAGACCCAAGAGATGAAAACAAAATAGTTCCACAATGCATTCATAAGAAACAAAGAACTAGATTATCTAGGTAATATAGCATAACTATTTTGATGCATGAACTAAATAATCAGGCACTTTCATTTGTTCAGATGTCTAGACTTGCATCTACGAGTGAAATTCAACTCTGATGTAAACAGGATTCACTATACCAGTAATAACACTGGCATGAGCCAAAACTAGCCATGTCAAATTTGACTTACCATAGCTCTTAACATGTCAATTTCCCACAGGTAAGAAGATATTTGACCACTCAGTAAATAAGGCTCGTCTTCGTATTTTATGATGTGTGCTTTATATTTACCAGTCAAGTCAACTCTGTTGAAAGGTGACAAGTTAGAAGTGCATTTTCATCAGAAAACTGTTTTGACAGGACATTTACATGTAAAGGTATGCAAGTCTAATAATCAAATAAAAACGGTGACAATGATAAATATGTGAGAGGTTCATGACATCTTCATAATTTACATGTATATATCAACTTGAATATACTTATTATAGTACATGGGACTGGCAAGTTTTACATCCCCTCCTAAAGGAAATTATTCTTCTAAATGCGAATGCCGCAAGCCAGGCAAAAGGGCAGTATGTACCGTTAAAGTACATGGGACCGGCGAGTTTTACGTCCCCTCCTAAAGGAAATTATTCTTCTAAATACGAATGCCGCAAGCCAGGCAAAAGGGCAGTATGTACCGTTAAAGTACATGGGACCGGCGAGTTTTACGTCCCCTCCTAAAGGAAATTACCGTTAAAATCCTATTATAAACCGCATACCTAATAGTAACCGCACCCCCGATTTCGACTTCAGTGTTAAAGAGTTCTCAACAAAAATTAAAAACATGAAAAGTACCTATTACTAACCGCACCCCCAATTCAACAAGACCATGACTGACTTTGTTTCAACCAGCTGGTACATTGTTCCTAATCGTATTCATTTGTTTCAACAATGTACCTAAAAATATTCACACCTCTTTATTGTTCAGTAGTGTTAGGATGTCAAACACTCAGTGAAACTGCTTTTGTTCTTGCGACAACTTTTGTCAATACTCCTTATGAATACGTCCACGTGTCGCAAATTTTCGACAATGAGCTGTTATCACCGAAAAACTGTTAAATGCTTTTTCAATGCTCAGTTTATCTTTCGAAAACAACTAATTTCTTAATTTAAAAAAAAGTCATGTCAATTTTCCATGGAAATCAAAGCCAAAAGATCGCACGACACTATCGGTAAATCTCT